TTTCCACTCACTTAAATTAACATTATTCAATATTTTTCATTGTTTTTTTATTTTCATTTTTCAATTTCATTTTTCATTGTTTTTCATTGTTTTTCATCTAGAGTTGGAGCCTATCTTGCTGACTTCATTTTTAGACAATTTACTTTTAGTTGTGCTGTTTAAATAGGTTCTGTTCTTTATACAATCTATGTGATTTTTATAAAAGAAATTGCATTCCCTTCTTCAGGGCATGTTTCCAACCCAGGGATCAAACCTAGTCTTCAACATTATAGGCTGGTTCTTTACCATGTCACCTACTAGTGAAACCCCTATATATTTATATCTCTATACAAATCTTCCTCAATTTATAATTTATGTCTTGAATCCATTGCAAGTCCAAAGTATAGTAAGTTGAAGCTTCATTTAATACACTAACCTATAGAACATCAGAATTTAGCCTAACCCACCTTAAGTGTGCTCAGACTACCTACAATTTGGTAAAATCATCTAACGCAAAGCCTATTTCATAGTAGAGTGTTGAAAATCATATGCAATTTATTGAATACTGTCTGAAAGTGAAAAGTAGAATGGTTTTAAGAGTGTTAGTTGTTTAACTTCGTGATCAATTGGCTGGATATGAACTGCTTCTCACTGCGCTGCCCAGCTTCACAAGAGAGCATTGTACTTCATATTGCTGGCTCAGCAAAAGATTGAAATTCAACTTAAGATTTCTACTGAATACATACTACTTTCACACCATCGTAAGCTGAAAGATCAAGTCAAACCATTAAAACACAGTCGGGTACTGTCTCTATATAGCTATATATCAGTTTATTATCATTTTACAAATATTTATATTGGGGATCTAGAATTACCTTGGTTGTTTGCTTGGATGGTGGTTATGAAATGTTTGCAATGTCATCCTAAAAATTTATAAGGAATTACTTAAAAAGTAAAGACTTATTTGTCCTTGAAAGATATTTTCTCTGCAACAATACTTTTTTTTAAGTATAAGAATATTATCTTGAAGTTATATTTTTCATAAGTATGTAGATACATGAAATTTTTATCATATGAAAAATTCAAAATATATCATTTTTAATAATGATATTTTCTTTAAAGTTTGAGGTCTTAAGTATCTTAAAAAGTATCCAGTGCTTTAAAATTTTCCAGAATGCTTCTCAATATTTATTATTTTCTATGAAAGTATATATATCTGACTAATTTAACCTTTCCAAAAGTTTGATGGTATCAGGATACGTTACTTATTATTGGGTCGTGATGTTCTGTGGTCATTATATAATGTGTTTTGTTGTAAAGCCATAAATGTTTGTTCTGAGTTAAAACAATGCATTATTTTTTCCTGATTATTCCTTCACCTTCAGCTATTTCTACTTTCAACTGTCTCAGACCATTTTGATTTGCAGGTTTGTAAAAAGTATTTACAAGTATTGAAAGTATTACAAGTATTGAAGTATTGAAAGTCAGGTAACTAAGCTTGTGCTCTCTCTGCTCAATCATGCCCAACTCTTTGTGACCGCATTGACTTTAGCCCACCAAGCTCCACTGTCCATGACATTTTTCAGCAAAGGTACTGGAGCGAGTCTGCCATTTCCTCCTCCAGGGAATCTTCCCTGACCCAGGGATGGAAACTGTGTCTTCTGCGTTTCTCGTTGCAGGTGGATTCTTTACCGCTGAGCCATTGCAGAAGCCCTGTTACTAAGCTTATTAATATTATATTAAAATTACAGTGTGGACTCCCCTGGGGGCTCTAGTGGTAAAGAAACCACCTGCTAAGGCAGGAGATGCAAGAGACCTGGATTGGATCCCTGGGTAGGGAAGGTCCCTTGGAGGAGGAAATGGTAAACCCGCTCCAGTATTCTTGCCTGGAGAATCCCATGGACAGAAGAGCCTGGTGGGCTACAGTCCATGGGATCAAAAAGAGTCATACATGACTGAAGCAACTTAGCAGGCACACACAGTTTTAGTAAAAATGCTCTGTGATACCTGAAGCCCTTTTTATTGAGTTGAATAAAAACCTTTAGCTTCTATATATTTTGTGACATCTATTTTGTCTGTTTAGAAAACTCCTATCATTTTATTCTGTGCAATATTCAAGATAAGTATCATTGCTAAATATTTGAATTATAGATATGGAATAAACCATCTGTAATTTATAATCACATTTGACTGTATGTATGAACAATTCCAAAGATACATAGAACCACACTTTAGTAACATATTGAGCACTTTTTTTCAGTTTTATATTTTAAGAAAGGAGTTTGCTGTTTATTTTGTCATGAGAAAAATACTTTTGTATTTGTATTGTATCTAATACCTTCTAGTTATATTATTGAAGTTGGAAAAAAATATACATTTAGAAATGCAAATTAAAATAAACTGTACTCTATTACTGCTGTAACACATTGCCATAAGAACTTTTTAAAACAAGTACCAACTTTTAGCTCACAGTGAGTCACAGGTCCAAGAAGGCATGTCTGGTTTCTCTGCTCAAGATCTCAAAAGGCTTGAAAGCAAGGTGCTGGCAAGGCTGTGTTCTCATCTGAAGCTGGAAGCCATCTTTCAATGTCATACAGTTTACCAAGTGAGAGTTTATGGAAATAGGCTGCTATTTGGCCTGCAGTCACATATTTTAAAGTTGTGCCTCCACTTTGCAGGAATTTAAAATAGCCAGTGATGGTTTCATAAACAGAGGAACCCCAGAGTAACTATGTCTTAAAATAAAATTTCCTTTTTAATCTCTTCCAAATGCATTACTAACCAACACTTCTTGAGCTTAGTTGCTCAGTCGTGTCTGACTCTTTGCAACCCATGGACTATAGCCCACCAGGCTCCTCTGTCCATGAGCTTTCTCCAGGCAAGAATAGTGGTGTGGGTTGCCATGCCCTGCCCTCCTCCAAGGGATCTTCACAATCCAGGGATCAAACTCAGCAGTCCACTCATTCATATTCTGCTTTCAATTTATGCAATGACAAATATTGTCTTCACTTTAAGGAAAAACACAGAGCAACATTGCTTAGACAGAATGACTTCATCCTTCCTATGACTCAGGAAAACACTAANTTTTCAATGATTTTCTCTTAGAAAGATGACTATACTTTAGATTGCCTGCAGAAAATTTGATCAAGGTTTTGGAGATTAAGAAAATAATTGTTCAGACATTTATTTCCTTGTATACCCAGATCTGCAAAATAAGGGTTTCTTGGCAATGGATTATGATTAGGTTACACTGTTTCTTCTGTCGTGATTTGTCAAGAGTTAGTCATAAGAGAGAGGCATTTGCATATAACATACAACTCAGTTTTGAGACGTTCATGGCATTCCAATGCTATTAAGCTTTGAGAATTCAGATGACCTTGAAATTGTTTAAAACTTTAGTTCACCTTGGAATTTCAATTTTTATGCATTTGAATAAAACTTTTAATATAAAACATAAAAAGAATCCACCTACAATGCAGGAGATCTGGGTTCAATCCCTGGGTTGGGAAGATCCCCTGGAGAAGGGAAAGGCTACCCACTCCAGTATTCTGGCCTGGAGAATTCCATGGACTGTACAGTCCATGGGGTCATAAAGAGTCGGACACAACTGAGAGACTTTCACTTTCATAATAAATACATTTAAGCATAAAATAAGCAGATTTATTTAAATAATATTTTATGTTAACAAACTATCAAATGACTTTTATGAATATTAAAGTTCATTTTTACTCTAACAATGTTAATAGTACTATAATACTTCATAGTTAGCTGTATGAAAATTAGCTCATGTATTTAATAACATCAGAAAGCCAGATTTAGTTCATTCTAACTCAGTATTTTATTATTACTGCTTTGTCACTTTTGAATAAAAATTGAGCATAAATTACACCATTTTTACTTCAATTAGCAGGACTTTTCCTGCCAAATTGTTTATATTTGTTTAGTTCAATGCTTGTTAGGTTCTATGAGACTTCTGAAGAATGTCTTCCCTAGTTTGTAAACTTGTAATAAATTACAAGCAAAATAATTTTTAGTGCATAAATAAAAGTACACAAAGTGTTGACTTGTAAATGTAGGGATATTTAATCATTAAAGATGCAACATTGATGAATATGAGTCTAAACATTATGGTGAAACACTGAAGCAAGATCAGTGTTTACTGGCTTATAATTTATCATATAAACATTTGTGAATTAGTTCAAGGTTGATATTTTTAATGTGAAATGTGTAACTGGATCCCTTAAAACATATGTCATCAGTGATTTAGCTTATTCTTTCAATTTCAATTTTACTAGTCAGATTCACTGCATTTCTCTAACTTATACATAAAAAGCTTTTAGGAAAGATAATCTATTTTATTTAGATTATAAATAGTTGATAAGGATAGGAGATCATTTATGTCTCTAAATTCTATTGTTATTCCCTGGATGCATTTTTTTAAAAAATAAGGTTAAAAAAAAAAACAAAAAACAAACACACACACACACAGCTAACATTTGTTTGCATATCTTAAAGTTGACTTTTAAAACCTTTGTTATTTAAGACATAAGACAAATTTTAAAGCAATTTGGTAAAGAATTTGCTAAATTAACTTCTCTTCACTCTCAGAAATTATACAGATAGCATGTGTAACTTAGTTATTTAAAAGGACTTTAATATATTTCTTTTCAGGCTAGGCTTATGTTACACTTTTATAGCAAACAATGATAAAGGGAAGCTATAAAATTCACAGAACTGTCATGCTAAATAATGATTCCATTGAGTCAATAGTTTAGTATGAGATCATTATGTAATCCAAATAAGTTTAACATTTGTGTCTACTTTAATCATTAACATCTTCTCTGCCAAGAAGAGAAAATATGGAACTTAAATTACCACTCCCTTTGTTTTCTTGCCATCTTTCTCTTCAAGAAAAGTGAATGTGACAAGAATGTTTTCATATCCTAATTTGTGCAGTGTCTTGGGAAGATTCTTTTTTGGATTCATAGTAAACAGTGACTCTTTGATTTATGTTTTCTCAGGAGCTACAACCATAGAAAAATATGATCTCAGAACAAATTTGTGGATCCAGGCAGGGATGATGAATGGCAGGAGATTGCAGTTTGGTGTGGCTGTTATTGATGACAAACTCTTTGTAATTGGAGGTCGAGATGGCTTGAAGACATTGAACACTGTTGAATGTTACAACCCCAAAACCAAGACTTGGACTGTTTTACCACCAATGTCAACACATAGACATGGTCTAGGTAAGATTCTTCTTTATTAATATCATTTTTGGAAAGTATTTTATTGAAAGTTAGAATGTGTGTTCAAATATAGTATTACTTAGATCAATTATCATTAACAAGGTAGCTGTGAACTAATTTGGAACATATCTATACATATATATATATGTTGATGTATATATGTGTTTATATATATATATATATATACACACATGAACATATAGATAGATAGATAGAGTCTTGACATTTTCCTGTGGTGACCAATGTACATTAAACTGTTAAAAGAGTGATGTTAAATATGCTGAGATGAAATTTCCTTGGTTTTCATCAATGGATGAATGGAAAAAGAAAATTTGATATATATACATGATGAAATATTGTTCAGCCATTAAGAATAAAGAAATATTGCCATTTGCAACAACATGGATGGGCTTTGAGGGAATTATGCCCAGTGAAATAAGTTAGAGAAAAATAACCATATGACCTCACTTACCTGTGGAATCTGAAAAAAAAATCATGGATATAGAGAAAAGATTGGTTGTTGTCTGAAGCAGGGATTTGAGAGTGGGTGAAATGGGTTAAGGAACTCAATATTAGAAGTTTCCAGTTATAAAATGAGTAATCATTTTATAATATGGCAATCATTCTGCAAAATATACAAACATCAAATCATTATTTGTACAGGAAACTAATGTGCTGTATCAATTGTACTTCTTTTTCTTAAATAAATAAAAGCAAGGACTTGTAAAAAAATGTATCTAGATGAGTAGACCTCAAGTTATTCCAGTTTTCAAAGTATGTACTCATACAGTATGTAATATTCATCTATTATGAAGAGAAAATAAAGAACTATCATGGAAAAACCAGAGTAATACAGTGTGGAAGAAGAAACAGTTAATGTGAATTGAGAAAGCAATTAAGGTGGTTTTCTGTAGCATTAGTGGATAGTCAAATCTAGTTATATCTTTGTATTTAATTGATTCCATCTTGAAAAGTCCACGGAGAGAGGGCAGAACAGATTTAGGAAAAGAGTGACTCATCAATAGGCACCAGAAGTCAATATAATAGGATTCAACTGATCTCCACTAGGGAGTAATCTGGAGATGGGGTGAACTGTATTTGGATTTAGAAGTTCTGGGTGTAAGTTTTCAGTCTGTCATTGAATACTGGCTTGATTTGGGGCCAGCAGTTAAACTATGAGCCTTCATCTCTTCATTTGCCACCGATTCAAGGTTATGAATTAGATTGAAATTGGATGATGATAATGAATGTGAAATCACTTGTAAATGATAAAGTCTGAACAAATATTAGAAAAAGAGTAATATAATATAGATCCTGAATTTGTGTTTCTCATCGTATGGATTGTAAGAAGTCCTAATTAGTTTTTTGAAGACCTGAAATATATCAGATAGTTGACTAAATGCATTTAGTATATTAGTACATCTAATATACATTAGAAAGATATTGAGGTCTAATTGCAAATTTACTGATCCAGACTTTCCTAGGAAAGTAAAATCATAGAGCATTTAAAAAACAAAAATAAATGATAGTTTAACTTTAAGGTCTTCAGCTCTACATTCTAATTCATCTCTGCCATCACCTAAGACAAACTATAAAAATAGCTCTGAACTAAAACCACTTACCTTTTTGTTCTTCTAATTTACCTCCAATTTTATCAGTTTTCTGATTTTTATTTTATTTGGCATAGTTAGTAAATGTCTTGCTTTGTGATATTCAGTGTGATTACAATATTGTCCATGTATCCCATATTATACTCCAAGTGGCAAGAAGCTAAAGTAAAATTTTAATATAAAATAAAAACCCAAAATAGTTGACCTATATAGCTTTCTCCCACCTAGATTTGGTTGAAAAAAATCCTTACATGATTATATTAGAAAGCCACATGAGTTCTTTGGTTGTTAAGTTGAAGATGTGGTCAAAAACATTTCGTAGCTATCAGTAAATGAAGATTGATTCTTCTGCTGGATAAAATAGCAAAACTGTATTCATGTTAAGTCTGTGATATCAGGGAGTAATGCATCTCTCTAGGGAATGAAACTAATTAAGACCACAATTGCCTCAACATGCTGAGTTTTTATTTTAGCATTATGTCTGTGAAATACATAGTTCTATAAATCATGTCTTCTTTCCCACAACATTTATGTTGTATAAAATTGAATAAGTCATTCTTACAATATACTGTTTGCAAGTAAGTAATTTTAGGAAAAATTGATAAAATAGTTAAATAGCTATTGTTGATTATGGATTTTCTATATGCCATGCTTTGTGTTGTATGTTAAAAAATGATAGGGTTTGTTTTTGTTTGTTTAGTTTTCAACTGAGATAAAACTAAGTGTTAAAGTGTAGAATTGAGTACTTTTGAGTCTATTCACAGAGTTATGTAGTCATCACTACTATCAAACTTCAAAATATTTTTATCATTCTAAAAAGAAACCCTGTAATCAATAGCAGTCACTCACCATTGTCCCATCTGCCTGGCCCCCTTAGCAAAAATTAAACTATTCTCTGTCCCAATGAAATTGCCAACTCAAGATAATTCATTTAAATAGAATCATATAGTTTGTGGTTTTCTGAGTTGTTTCCACTTTTTGATTACTATGAATAAAACTACAATGAACATCCATGTATGTATTTTTGTTTGAATATATATGTTAAATTCTGTTGGATTATGTACATATTAGAAAAGTTGTTTAATTACATCGTAGCTCCATTTAAATTTTGGAAGAACTGCCAAGCTATTTTCCAGAATGGCTGTTCCATTTTCCATCTCCTCAGCAAAATATGAGGGTGCCAATTTTTCCACATCCTTGACAACACTTGGTACTGTTTATTATTTTTCTATTATAATGATCACAATGTATCTCATGATTTTATAGAAATTTCTCTAGTGAATAATTTTGAGAAATATTTCATGTGCTTATTGACCATTTGTACCTTCTCTGGATAAATGTATATAACTTTTGTTCAGGCTATTTTTTCTTTTATTGTTCACTTTATATTCTATATATGAGTGTTCTATCAGATATAACATTGCAAAATTTCATCTCATTCTATGGGCTCTAATTTAACTTTTTAATAGGATCCTTTGAAGCACAAAAACTATTGACTTACTAAAGTTAAGTTTATTTTCTTTTCTTTTGTTGCTTCTGCTTTTGTTGGAGTATAAGAGAAAAATATTGTCTAATCCATGGTCATAAAATTTATGCTAATGCTTTAGAAATTTTATACTTTTAGGTCTTAAATTTAAAAGCATAATCTATTTATTAATATGATGTTAACTGATAGTTCAACATCATTTTGCATGTTGTTTCACTGTTCTTTGTTAAAAAAAAAAAAAACAAAACAACTTTCTTTTCCATTGAGTTATCTTGGTGCATCATCAAAAATGTATTGGCCATAAATATGAAGATTTATTTATAGACACTCAGTTCTACTTTATTAATATCCTTGCCTATACTTAACACCAATACCACACTGCCTTGATTACTGTAGCTTTGTAATAAGATTTGAAATTGGATAATATCAGCCCCCTGACTTTTGTAGGACTGTGCTTAATAGCCACATATTTGTTGTTGTCATACAAATTGCATATTTATACATCCATCTCAATAAAGTTTTAAAATTATTACTTTATGCAGATGTCTTTATAATGACAGGAGAAAATAAAGTGTTATAAATTATTAAAAATACAGCTCTTACCTTCATAGAGCTTTTTACCCTTCTTGTGAATTTATGTTCCTATCTAGAAATGTCTACAGCCTGACCCAAAGGACCCCTTTCAGGAAAGATCTACTAGCAACAAATTCCTTTTATGCTTTATTTATTTATTTTTTAAAATCTTGATATATGATCATTTCTCCTTTATTTTTAAAGGACATAAAATTCTTAACAGTCTTTTTATGTTAGACTTTGAATGTGCCATACCATGTCTTCTGGTCTTCTTGATGAGAAATGAGATGTTAATCTTTTTGAGAATCCCTTGTGACTGATAAGTTGCTACTGTTTTGCTACTTGTAAGATTTTCATTTCCTCCTGGATCACTTGCCTTCTTTTCTTTTTTCAGCTTCTTGTTTGTTTTAACTGTTTTAACCACCTCAGGCTGCATTGACATTAAGTAATTGCCACTGATTTTTTTTTTTTCTTGACACACATCCTGGAGCATTCTCAGTAAGAAGAAGCCTTAATCAGGTAAAAGAAAAAACCCTTACAAGTGTGGGTTTTCAGAGAACTACCAGACCCATCAGAATAATAGCAATTTCCTAAGAATGAGCTTCTGAGGAATCTCCAAGATCTGTCCAGAGCCCTCCATTGGCTAATATGCTGTTAGATTTCATCACTACCTTGATCGTGAGGTTGTTGGTTTTTAAGATTACTGCACAGTTAGGGAGAAAGTTCTTGGGATAAAGCCATAGAGCTCATTGATCTTATGTAGATTAAGCTGTTTTTATTTTTTTGAATAAATCTCTTCAAATATTTAATACTTTTATTCCTCTTTCAGAGTTATGATTTTGAAACATTTTGTCAGTATTGTCATTATCTTCTATTTTGTCATTGCTGCAGATGTCAACAATAGAGATGGTTTTTATATGGGTACAATAAGCAAAAACTGGCTCATCCATAGGAAAAGGAGTCTTTTGAAAACATAATGGCTACTAAAACTTTACAAATGACTTATATGGTCTAGCCATCAGCACAGGAAAACATTTTAAAAGCAATGAGAATAACACTGATGTTGGCCTTTTGTCAACTATGTTGGTGAACAGTGACTCTTCCCCATAGATGGTGAAGTTAGCCACCCTGGAGCTAAAAGGACACATACATAACAGACAAACATAATGTATGAAACTTCAGGCTGTACACAAACAAACAAACAAACAAAACCACAACAACTGAAGAACAAATAAACATAATGTTTAGCTTGTCAAATTAGTTAGACATCCTGAAACATGGCTGAAATTAAGACAGGCTTGTTAATTCAAGTGAAAAAGGCATGCCCTGGA